GGGGAAATTTACGAAAAAAAAAAGTCCATATCCTTAATTTTCTAAAAAAAAAGGATAGGGGGCTAATTGAAAGCGAGGCACAAGTTCAGGGGGTATTTCACCAGTATACCCATATGATTATTCTTGGAGCAGCTCTCATAACATGAATCCACGAAGCCTTTCACATAGAGCTTATCTACAATATCATGCAAATAAAAACAAAATACAAAGAATATCAATGACCGAAATATAATTCAAAACAAACATGATAAAGTTAGAGAGAGAGAGGGGTAAATCAATAATCCCATATGGAAATATGCATATTACCAGAATTGGAAGTGCTTGTGGTGGCAATGGAGTTGGCATAACTTTGTGTTTATACACAACATCCGAAGGCCTATGTTTGCATTTGATCATGCACATGCCAAGGCATATTGGGTTCATCAGGCATTTTGTCGCACATTTTAAACCATAAGAAATAATATGGCTATTTGGAACCACCTGATTTCCGTCGGAAGGATCAGAGAGACATCATCAACTTGACCAAGAGTGTTGCCATCTGGAACCGTATTGGTATAGGAAGGATTCATATCAGCTTGAGCTATTGCAAGCACAAGCATGCTCATCAAAACCACAGCCCTCAACACACTAGCATCCATACCTTCTCTTTCTTTGTTTCAACTTTTTTTTATTGAACTCTGTTTGATTGCCGGAGTTTGTTGGTGGAGGAAGTGGAAGCTATAAAGCCACAATTTATAGGGAGACCCTTTGGCCATCTATGGTTCTAAGCATGATTGTAGCTAATTACTTTAGTATTTTTTTTCTTTGTAAAATTAAAAGATGTTTCAAGCTCGAAGCTCCTCTCTGCCCATTGTTGAAAGAAAAAGTTTAGGGAATATATGCACATTTTGGTGCAAATTTAAAAAATATTTCTCATTTATTTCTAGCATGTGTGCCTACTCGGCCCAAGAAAACATAGATAGATACATGATAGAGTTATATGGTGGGCCCAATTGATGAAACGCACCGTATTCGGCCTAGCCTATGGCGTCTACAATCGTAATCCAACAAAGACATATATCTCATCGTCATCGAGAAACCACAAACACCGTCTTCAATTCAGCGATTGCTTACTGTATTGCGCGGTGTGCAGTTTGCATGCAGAATACAGTGAATTCGAGCCTGGTTGATCAAAACGGCCCAGACCTTTACCCGGATCTCGTTAAAGGTTCTATTTTGCACCCAAACCCTAATTTCTTGTGTTCAGTTTTAATCACCTCTTATTTTCTTATCTCTTACATGTTTTCTTATCTCT